TTAGGGAGTGGAGTTTTTGTTTATTTGCATTTCACCCCCGTGGGGGCATACTAGCAATTTTCGAGATATAGTCTTCTTAGGCATAGTAATTTGGGCCTTTGTGTAATAGACTTTTATAGGTCTTTGCTTGTCCCGTTTTTATTCCTTTCGTTTGCAGGGATACTATTTTCCTTGTGTAGACCCACTAGGTTTTTAACGAAGCCCCTTGTATTTTCATAAGTTTTTAATGTAATAAAACATTTTTGGTAAAAAAAAAAAAAAGTATCTTTAAGTGGAGATATTACAATCATGGTGGAATCCGGTTCTAAACACCGGGTGAGTCTTCTACTGTCACGTGTCATATTTAATTATTTATTGTATATTCCTCACTTGAGTTATTTATTAAAGTACACATGTCAGCAGAAGACCCACCCGGTGTTTATCACTGGGTGTAGGGTTTGAAGGAGCCGTCGAATCCAACACAAGTGAGAAAATTTTAGGGTTTTTTTTGGAAATTACGTATCTTTCGCCTTTTTTAATTGTTTAAGTTATATATTTTTTCACTTGTTTAGTTTTTTTTTGTTTAAAATTAAAAATTATTATTAAAAACTCATTAGATGTAAAAGTCTACCGCCAATTTTAAAGAAATAGACAATGTACTTGGTAAAACACAACAAAGAGGATTTTTTCCTTTTTTTTTTAAGATCAGATTTTTTTGACAATTTGAAATTACATAGGGAGTTTTGTGCTATTAACTCGATCTTTTAATATATATATATATATATATATATATATATATATATATATATATATATATATATATATATATATATATATATATATATATATACTTTTTGGGGCCCTATGAGAAATGAGGCCTTGGGCTTAGGCCCTGTTCACCCTGGTTCAGGGAGCTCAGAATACGCTCCCACAAGATGGACATAGCATCGGACATCGGAAAGGTCAATCTTGTTCCGTAGAAGAGTAGTACGTTGTAGGGGTGAGCAAGTCGGACCCATCAACCCGCTACACCCGTCAAACCCGTGAAAAACCGCCCCGTTGGAACCGGACGGATAGATCCATCCATAGGATTGGGTCCTAAAATGGTGAAGAACCGTGGTTTGGGTCTTAGATGGGTTCAATTTTTTTTAATACCCGTGAAACCCGTCCCGCCCCGCCATACAAAACGACGTCGTTTTGTTTACATTATATAGTATAATAAATTAATAATATTAATGAATAAATCAACTAAACTATAATTGTGGAAGTAATAGCTATAAAGATTATGAAAATCTCTAAGAAAATGTAGGAAAAAAAAGCATATATATACAACGGTCAACACACGGTAGTAAAAAAAGGAAGAAAATGGTTGATATGCCCAATTGGGCCAACCCAATGGGCCTACAATTTCTTTACCTACTGGGCTACGAGCCCAATATCGAAGACTAATATCACCGAGGCCCAAACACCTTCAAGTAAGGTTTGGGCCCAACAAAGCAAACTCAACCCAATAAACGACATATAAATAGAGGTTTTACTCATTTTATTAAGGTACGTTCTGATTATTGACAATTCACCTCAAGTTTTATTCTCTCTACTCTCTCTACGATCCATACATCTGACTTGAGCGTCGGAGGGGTTTCCGCCGGATCAACCCCCGGCTTAGCTCACGTGTGCTCTTTTCGTAGGGACCTCAGGAGCATCGAATTGACTAGCTACTGATCTGTTTTGCTCTCCCAGCTCGTTTTCTACACCACCCTAGGTGAGCTACATTTTAGCATCATCAATGGTGTTGAATGGATTTGAATAGCGTTGGTTATGCTTGAAAAGGCTATATTTATTTTATTTAAGTTTTGTCTTTTAAGTTATGAATTAGTTATTTTTAGTTTTATATTAATTTTTATTTACTCTTGACACTTACATTATTTATGTTTGATTTCAATTTAAAATTTTAAGTTATTCATTTTAGTTTCTAATTATTCTCCCGTAAAACTTATAAATTATATATAAAAAAAAATTAGTTTAGACGATAACGGGTTTCGACCCGTAAAGGTTGGGTCCTACTACAAACCCGGCATGGACCCGCCTATCGTAAACCCGTTAAAAACCCACAAGTTTGGTTCTTCAAAATCAAGAACCGTTGTTTGACGGGACGAGGGCGGGTTTTGATAGAACCCGCGGGTTTATGGCCCGCGCACACCCCTAGTACGTTGGCGAGAGAGTCGTTTTGTGAGCAGGTCGGCTAACTGATCTTTGTAAGGATAATTAAAGTTTTGGTCCATGTATTATACATCATTTCCTATGTGGTCCTTCAATTTTTTCTGGCACCAAATTAGTCCTCAAATAACCATTTTTTTTACAATTTTCGTCCACCGTTTGAAATTGCTGTTAGTTTGAACGGAAAAGTCATGTGCGAGGCACGTGACACCCTTTGTTTTAATTTGATTGTTACTTTAACCCCAATATCACTTTATTCTTACAATTTCGTCCAAATAAAATTAAATTCGAGAAATGTACCAAAAATGTGAAATGACAAAAATACCATAAGAAGGTTTCTAGAAATGATTACACTTTATTTGATTCACAAATATTATTTATTTCTTTCTTTTAATTTTTTTAATTGAAAACACTATAACTAATTTGATTATACCAAATTTTATGAAAGAGTTTTTTGTATAAATTTAATTTATTTTATTATTTGTAATTATTAATATGTAAAAGAAATAATTAAACATATATTGTAATTTCAAAAAATTGTTTTTAGTCGTTTATACGATAAAATCGATTTTGCCTAATCTTATAAATTTTATTGTATTTTTATTATTCTTTAATAATAATTTTTTAATAGTATATAAATTTTAAATAAAAATGCAAAAAAAAAAGAAAGAAAAAAAAAACAAATTAATTAAAGAAAAAAGTGACACAACTGTACAGTTGATGGCTCGGGGGTGGAGGTGAAAATGGCAGACGAGGCTAGGCTAGGGCATTCAGAACATTTGTTTAGGGATTTGATTGTTTTTGGACGAATTTATAATAATAAAGTTAAACTACGGTAAAATAAAAAATATAGGTAACACAGGTGGTAGAAGTGCATGATCACATGTCTCGCACGTGACTTTTTTTGTCCAAACTAACAGCAATTTCAAACAGTGGACAAAAATTGTAAAAAGACTGGTTATTGAAGACCAATTTCGTGTCCAAAACTGTAATTATCTCGATCTTTGTATAAGTATGACGAACTCTAATGTTTTTTTTTTTTTAACCAAGTCACGCGCAAAGTATATCGATCCGAATGTGTTTCATGCGTGAGTAGTTTATAGGATTGGAGCTGAGCTGAGTTGCTAGTGATTGATTGATATTCTACCTTTATGGAAGACCTCGCAATAGCTCGTTATTTTTTTTTAGCTCCAAGATACACGGTTGGACCCGAGAAAAATCACATATGCAGAGGTTGAGCGTCGATCATCAAGATTATAAATAATTGTACTTCAGTTTAACAAAAATACACAAATATATATTAAATGTATATAATCAACAAAAAATAAAGATAAAAGAAGAGCAAGTCTTTTCTTCTTCTCCCAACCCACAACTCTTCATCCCTCATTTCTTTAGCCCTCTCTAGCTTCTGCTCCGCCGCCACTATGTCATTCAACATCTATCGACGTGATGATACAATATATATTATTTTTTAGGGAAAATTTCACTTCGCCCCTTCAAAAGAATTATATTTTGCATTCTTCTCCCTCAAAATACGAAAACGAGACTGTCCCCCTCGAAATATACAATTTGGTGCACTTTGCCTCAAATGTGTATTTCCGGTCTAGTACGTTATTGTCAGTTTTGAGTAAATTGCAAGGGTAATTTCATCTTAAGGCTTTAAATGTCATTTAACCTTTTTTTAACCCATCCTACGCTGATTATGAAGAACAAAGAACTTTTTTGTCGAACTTGGAAGCGAATTTCATCAAAGAAGGAAGGTAATTTTGTAAATTTTGGAACCCTGGGTAATTCTGAAAGGAGGATTTTCAAGCGGAAAAGGTAAAATGACATATCCACCTTTAATTCGGCGAGACTTAGATCCGAAATACACATTTGGAGGAAAGTGCAACGAGTTCTATATTTCGAAAGGGGACAGTCTCATTTTTGTATTTTGAGGGGGGAAAGTGCAAAAAGGGATTCTTTTGAGGGAGTGAAGTGCAATTTGCGTTATTTTTATTTTCCAATAATTTAATTTTAGTTATTTTTCAATATTATATGATTCAATAATTGCTCGATTGTTATGCTATTTATTCTACCAAAGAAATACAAAATTTTAAAATATTAAATATTGCATTGACTTTTCAACCGATGTTTTTGATAAATTAATTGAATCATTTTTCAATAATTCCATCGAATGAAAGTGGAAATATATTAAGATTAGTAATATAATCTAACATTTAAATACAAAATAACTGATGTTGAAACAATAATTTACGAATGATACTTCAAGGGGCTAAATGTTATATCGGCTATACTTCAGGGCGGAACCAGGATTAAAATGTAGGGGGGCTAACTAAAATTTTGGGGTTCGGGGAACCAGGATTAAAAAATTTTAGGTGCACAAAACATTGCAAAAAATAAGTTTATATAACTAATTTTTAATTAATATATATATATATATATATATATATATATATATATATATATATATATATATATATATATATATATATATATATATATATATATATATATATATATCTATATATATAATTTTATATTTTATTTTTAAAGAAAAAAAAAAAAAAAAAAAAAAAAAAAAATATATATATATATATATATATATATAAAATTATATAAGATTTTAGGGCTGCAAATTGTATTTAAAATTAGTTATGTAACCTTTTAAACATTGTATATTTCACACGTTTTTTCAGTGGGACCAATTCTTTCTCCACAATTGTCAACTGTGTCCTAGACCCAGTCACTCTTTAAAATGTGTATAATAATGGGACAAAAACTATAATTATCCCATATGACTTTTGTCATTAGGCCCATTCGTTCTCCACAATTTACAGTTGTCCCACTTTCATTGTTTAATAATAATATCAATATATTTGCTCAAAGTCCTTTTAAATACAAGATCAAATATTTCATCTCCATCATCAATTCATTATAGACATATCAAAAATGGAACTCTACAGAGAATCCATTCTAAACCAGACTGATTTTTCATTTTTACTGGCAAAGCAACTCCTCTTCACCGATAACAAGGACAAAAACGTCATTTTCTCGCCGTTGTCGATCCACATCTTGTTGGGCATGATTGCGGCCGGGTCGAAAGGCCCGACCCGAGATGAGATGCTGGGCTTTTTCAAGTCCAGTTCCATTGAAGAACTAAACTCGCTCTTGGCGCAGCACGTGACCACGGTGTGCGCCGACGGCGAACCATTTGGTGGGCCCCGTTTGTCCTTGGCCAACGGCATTTGGGTTGACCAGAGTCTCAGCTTTAAGCCCCATTACAAAGAAATTGTCGAGAATGGTTACAGGGCTGCTTCTTATCATGTTGATTTTCGGACTCGGGTTAGTTTTCTTCCTTTTTAGTTAGTCCATGGATTAAAGCTAGTTCTCTGATGACAATTATCATCAACGACGACGTAGTATTTGTCTATGTTAAATTGTATAATAAAACCATGTCTCTTTTATTTATTTTTTCTTGCATAAAATCTAATTTTCTGTTAATTATATGGAAAGGTATATATATATATATATATATATATATATATATATATATATATATATATATATATATATATATATATATATATATATATATATATATATATATATATATATATATATATATATATATATGTATATATATATATATATATATATATATATATATATATATATATATATATATATTCGCTCTCGCTCTATCTATCTTACTATATATATATATATATATATATATATATATATATAAAT